GCTAGATGCCAAGCCTCTTGCGGCATGTCAACTGGCTATCCTTATAACTCAAGGTGTTTCATAACAAAATTAGACTCTTCGGAACTAGGATAATCCTGACCATTTAGCTATTAATTCCAAGAAAAAAACTGGACTAGGCTTATAAATTAGACATCCAATAAACAGCAGGGTACGAGCACTCCTCCAGACCTTCGCTTTCTGAAACTGGCGCTAAGCACAACATGCTCACTCGCACAGAGGATCGCTGAAAGCAGTATCTCGGAGTCCATCAGCACTGATTATAGACCGGATTAGACACATCATTGGAAGGGCATATATAAGCTTTGCCTACCTCCCTGGAGGATGCCACTTGATTGTTAATACCATAATCCGATTTTAAAAGTCACAAAAAGATTGGTCTGAAGGCATTTAGTTGGATGCTGTTCTCAACGTCACTCCTGCACTTCGGACAAGATTCTGTCAACTAGAGTGGATTGACAGGGGTTAGCCTGCAACGACACATCCTCCGAGTTTTCCAAAGGTACCGTGTAGACAACTGGTGGCTCGCGGAGCAATTTAGAAGTTGAGTACACCATGGCGCTGGCTCCCCTTACAGAAAAGGGGGGTTCTGACACACGTTTATTGGTTCGCCGGACTAGGATCATATTGAGCATGATGGTGCCTGGACTTCTGTGAACGCGGGTCAAGATTCTTGGGAGTGTTGATGCAATTCACTTGTGAATGCGAGAACAAGCAGATGAGCTTGAGGAGCCCCACCCATTTTCTCACTAAGTCACCGCTTTCACGCACAATGCCTGCTTTTACATGGTGGAAGTTTTCACAAAGCGTGCAGTGCATGGTCCCTGGAACGGCGCACTGCATGTCATAAGTTTTCTACTCTGCTCTGGTGGCAAGGTGGGACCCCATTCCCTCAGCCCTCAATCGACAAAAGTATTAAACAACTGCAAAAGCCATGTTTGACCGTTGAATTTGGTCACGGCGCTTTCCGGTTATAATAATATATTCCCCTGGTTATGCAGTGTAGCAGAGGATTGTGTCTAGCAGTATACTCAGATCGTATCAATTTAATATCGTTTCAAGGAGTTGGTCTAAACAAAGAGCTGACTGGTGCGACCAGTGCTGAGGTGGATTGAAGCACTTTTGACCTAAACCTGGTGATTGATAAATGGAGTGCAAAATTTAGAGACCTGGACTGTGCCAAATGAGCATTTGAAGCGTTCGAGGTTGTCCTGCTTCAAGCTCCATAGACTTCATCAATCAATCAATCAGTGTAGGAGGAGAAAGATCCGCCTTTCTGGAGCGAATCAAAAAGTCTCAAACCCATGTTCAATCGAGACTAAGTGCGGCCCAATAAGTTTGTCGAATCGCTCGTTCAATTCGGTGCAGGTTTTTATTGCAAATTTTGGGATTTTCCTGATAGATTCTGAAGATGACATTATTTGCTTAGAGGAGCTCGGAATTGAGTCTTTAGTCTTCTGACAAATGTTGCTTCGATCGATAGTCTGACTTTCTGTTCCTGACGATGAATAAACTATTGTGTCTCGCCAGCTCCGGATACGCTGTAGAAAGGCCTTGGAACCCGAAAGTACGGCATGCTCCATCAGTGGGACCCTATGGAAAGAGAGGACCCCACTAAGGCAAGACTTCAAACCAGAGGGCAGTTCGTGGCGTTATCCTCTCAAAGGCACGATACACCATAAAGGCAGTCATTACAGAGCATGGTTTCCAAGAAGAGGTACCCTTAGACTCGGAAGGATCTGAGTGCAAGATTGCCGAGGCTTCTATAAACAAAGTATGCAAAAATGGGGTTCATTTTTTCCAGTTAACTTCTGGAATGCGCAGTTTGTTTCCGGAACTAAAGTTGCAGGAAAACTGGCCAAAGATGAAGGGGCCAAGGTGATCCTTGCCGTGTCTCAGGCCTTATTTCCCCACTGTATTCTTTTTCCCAGGCGGAAATGAAGCTAACCAGCACAAACATCTGTTTGTGAGTCTGACAAAACAAGCGATAAGCGTCAAAAGAAAGGTTGAGAAATGGCATTTGTAGTCAATTGTTCCAGCAATAAATCTTTCCAACTTGTTGGAACGAATGGCATGAGGGCCAGGAGTTGGGGAGCTTGTTCATTTCTACATGTTTGTAGCTGTACTGAATAGTTTTAGCCAACTGGATAGATAAATTAGTATGCACGCAAATGACAACGTCGCCAAGTAGCCACGTGCATGATGCTTGCCGGAGGATGGAATTAACTTAAAGAGACACCCGGGGACAATTATGAGCCTGCGGCGACCAATGCCGGAGACGTGTAAAGTCGGAGACGGCGTTGGACGTGCACTTGTTCATGTCGGAACAGTGATATGTGATTAGTGCTAAAGCGACCAGCTGCGTGCGCTCATGCTTTGGACTTCAATGAGTCTGCATAAGCAGCGCAGTCAAATTCAATAAGAGCCTGCATACTCCGAAACTGTAAGTTTCGGAGCAGCTTGCGTCGTCTAAAGTGTCTTCAAAGATGCATAACTTTCCACTTTATTCATCCAACCGTTCAAACTGATCATTGTATGGCAAATACCTGACTAGCATGGGAGACCGACCCTGCAATAAGTATTCATGTACTCAACTTTAACAGCTCTGTACATTTCAAAATCAACTGGCTGATCATGTCGAGGTGATCGAGGACCCGGAATCAGAGCACTAGTATACTGAGCCAATCTTTTCAACTACCGGCAGGTCTTCTGCGGCAAGTCTCGAACATATCCAGTATTATAACATTTTATTAGTCTCTTCACTTGGAAACATGCATAAATCACCAGCATGCATGTATACATATAAAAATATGTCGTATACCGTTGGCCAGTATCCACATCACTGGACTATTACGGTCAGCCTGCCTAGCCATTTGTTATTGATAAAGGGTAGGTCTCAACTCGAAAGGGGATGAATCAGTGTACTAAACAGCTGAGTTGCAGAAAGGTTTATCATTAAATTTTGGTTAAAATGACGGGGACAGTAGTACCGTTAATATGGAATAGTCTTCTCAGCCTATTCCTCTGATTTCCTATATCCATCAACGTCCAGTCGGTACGGGCTTCGTGTGCGAATCCGATATGAGCTCTACTCGGCACTGGAGTGACTCGTGCTTCCGATGGAAGATTTCAATGCATCTTCAACCGCCTACAGACATCCACCAGACAATGGAGATTGAAGATATGATACTGCACCCTAGGTGTGAGACGAATCACATAAATACAGTGACGAAATCTTATGTTATTGATTTTTAAAGTAACACTCTGTACTTCATATCATATGTTGGTCCGGGATGAGAACCACAAATTCTCCCGTCATTAAACGAGCGGGAGTCTACATTTCTTAACAAAGACATGACTTGAAGGGGGGGCTTCTGCTGTGTTCAGGCTTCTTTTGCTTAGCGTACCGCCTCTGAAACAAAATCACGGGGAACATATAAACAGCGGCGGCATTATAATTTCTAGAACAAAGTGTGCAGGCTGGTCATGTTCCTTTTATATTATAGTAACAAGGTGAAGTTCAGAGTGCTTCATTTCAGTAATGAGTGTGAACAGATGCTGCTCCAGAATCAGAAACACCAAGGTCTTAGACAGTGTTGACGACGTAAATAGTCATCACTGTCTAGCGGATGATTGTATATCTCTTGTCACAAGAGGAACAAGCATGCGAAATGAATGTCAAGGAATTACGTATCACGTAAGACTAATGAACGCCTAGAGTGTGCTTATGACGCTCTTCAGACCGCTGAAAATGGGCTTGTGTCGGATACCAAAATTGATATTACACACCCTCATTTTAACTTACATTCACTATTCTTATATTATTCCAACTCACTAGAATCCCGTCACAAGTCGTTGTTCCTTGTGTGGGACTGAAGCTCGTCCTTGCATTTCAGTGCAGCAACTCTCAATGGAAATGAGAAGGCGTTATTAGTTCAATTAGGCCCTGCTTGAGTGGATGCCAATGACGATAATGCCGCATCACTCTCAGAAATGATGAAAGCAATAGAATGTTTTATTGTCAAGACCCACTTGGTGATAAGGCTAGATGAGTCATAGAGAAGAGAGGAGTGATGCAGAGATTCGGGACATAGGAATTTACCCATTGCAAAAGCATGACTGTGTTCCAACATCCTGTTCCATCTCATTGTTATCATCATATCTGGGGCAGAACTCAGTTTCAGCAAGGAAATTCATTCATCCTCCAAGGATTTGCAGATGCATGGCCAAGTATAGGTAGTGCGGTTACTGTGAAAATTATCAGTTCAAATCACACCGAGGCAGTATGAATGACCAATGATGAAAATTTTCAGTCTACTGCCTGTGGCAGATCCCCTACTTCATTGACTTGCTGCCCACCGGTGAGGGCGACACGAATGCATGGGCTAAGCAGAAATAAGGTCTGGCTCAGTCGTGAAAGCTGTATGTCTTTAACTGTGAGTAAAATCCGACGCACATGAGCACTTCTGACGTCTAAAACAGTATGCGCCAAATTGGTGTCATATTACCTTCCCTGCCAGGGATGACTTATGACACCATTTTAGAGAGCAAAAGCTGATGGGTAACAGTGGGCGTCACTAATGCACGTGAGCTCTGCATAAGATCCTTCGTTTCTATTCAGAAGTTTCGAAAAAGCGACAAAATATCAACTCACAGACCAACTCAGTAGAGTGAATCCGAACCATCTCACGCTTCGTGACGTTGCCTTCTAACATTCAGTCATTGGCAAATTGAACGCTTCGCGCCGCGTCAATGTCATGAAAGCCCCAAGTATTATTCTAGAAGATTCAGGTTCGAATGTGAGTTGGGCTTATAAAACAGATTCAGTACAACCTCCGTCATCAATAATCGATCTCTGGGATCAAAAAGACAAGCAGCTTCCGATACCAAATGCATTGCAAAAACTGATTTCAAAGAACAACGAAGCATCAAGTCGTTTAGAACCTGACAGCATACTGCATCAGACAGCTCTGCACTCAACATGCAAAAATAGCTTTTTTCTCTATTCAATCAAATGTTAAATCAACTGTGGAAGAAGTAAACTAGCTTCTGATCATAACATAAACTGGACTACGATAGAGTCAACTGATAATTAATTAAGATAGAGACGAGGATCGTCCATGTAAGGATAATAAAATGGTCGTGCTCACAACATGAGAAGGAGATTCGCTTGCGGCTAAAGTTCGTCAATTACTGCACAGAAAAGGGCGAAACAACAACCGTGCCTACACAGACTAACAAAAAATGCTTTGACAAAGACCTAGACATAAGCCATGAAAGCAACTCCTGGGAAACCTCCTGAACTTGAGGATCAGAAAACAACACCTGGATGCCGAAGAAGTTGCTGCCGCCAAAAGGAAGAGCTAAGTACCACTTCTAGCAGTAACTCCGGTTGGAGTACCGTCATCATAACTCTTCTTCGGCGGCCAGTTTATCGCAATGATTGCGAATAAAAAAGTAGGAATGAGAGCATGATCGTCTACCAAATTACGTTCAAGTCTCTCATCTGTAATTATTAACTAATCATCTCAACAAACTGCTTCTCGAGCGTGATAGATCTTGCAGTAGATGGCTTTCTGATTCTTTGCCGCGGCATTAGCAAAGATTTGATGGATTGCGGACGCGCAACCAGCTTCATGAGTACTGTGGCGGCCGCTGATGATGAACATGACCTGCATGACCCGCGTGCGGGTGGTGAGGATGGCCCCCTCCCCCACCTCCGGCCCATTGGCTTAGCACGTCCTGCGTGGACAATTGCTGGGGTTGGTTGCTCAGGTTGGGATTCTGCGGCGTGACAATGCTGTATAGCGATTGCAATCCCGCAGGATAATTGAGCTCCGGCGCCTGGATAGCTAAAGGCGGTTGTTGACTGGAGCTTCCCCCGCCCATGGTCAAGCCTTCATCATCGTTGTCAAGAGGGAGCCGTTCAAACGTAGGACCGATAAAAGACGCCGCGATCACGAGTACAGGTCCTGCTGCCATGAGAGTCCCAACCACGCTGCCCCCTAGCACTTGCCCAGCGGCACCAGCAAGTGATACAGTGAGCCCAGTCGTGGGAGCCGATGACGGATGAGGTAGGAATGCACCTGAGAGAGAAATGATCTCGAAACGCCCATGAAAGGTAACCGTCGCTCCGGGAGTTGTGGGTTGCCGGAGAGTCACATTCGACACGGTGCCACTGGCGCCCATTACACACACCCCTCGCTGCCGTCGCCGTGAGAACGACGCGACGGAGTCGCTTACATCGCATCCTCCAGCAACTTCCAGTATGTGCGGCCGCATCGCGTTTCCATTTTCTCGGGTTATGATCACAGGAGGTTTTGGTTTATTCTTGGATCCTGGCGGCCGCCCTCTGGGTTTCCGCCCGGGTTCCAGTATGGCCAACTGGTTCTCAGCTGGTTGCTTTCCTCGCTTCCTTCCCCGCCCGCTGCTTCCACTCTGCTCGTCGTCAGAAGGGGCGCCGGAGGGCCGTGCCCCCACATCTTCCAACCCGGCCATGTACACATACCCGGCACCACCCTACCTCCTCCTTCCTCATCACCCTTCACCCTCGCCTTATTTTCTCTCGCCGCAACCCTCCTCCGCCTCCTCCTCCTCAGACCTGTTACTAAATTCTCAGAACATCCCTCTCAGAATCCTTCAACCCATATCGCCCTCGTCCCTGCGTCCTCTCACCGTCGACACCACCGCTCTGCACATCCCCGACCCTCCGTCCCCTTCAACCTCCACCTCCCCGTCTCCAATTCTCCTTCCTCACGGCCTCTATGCCCATGCACCACCACCACCACCACAACCCTTGCCGTTCCCACCTCGATCACCGTTTTCGCGTCTCGGACTCCTCCTCCCCACCACCATCAGTCCAGTCGTCGTGTCGTCGATCTCTGCTGCTGGCCTCTACACGCAATCCTTCTATAGTGCTGCACCGGAAGGGAGGGGAAATACACAAGCACTGGGATTCAGCTACCTGCGGCGAGTGTTGGAAGCTGCCGAGCCCACGCGGATGGTCTCCCCAGAGGTCCCTGGGCTCCGTGGTTCCTTAAGTGCCCAAGGGCATAGAACAAGACAAGGCAAGCCATCCATTGGAAATCTCGCATTAAAATAGTCTTCTAGTGTCGTCTAGCCATCGTAGGATCCCCCCCCTAGACTACGTTGTTACCCGCATGCTGTCGGAGAGAGCGGCAAGTAGCACCCCACCCAGCCCCGCACTCGTGATCCCGTCCGTTCCCCATCTCCTGCAGGCCCTGCCTTCCCCTTCCCCCTTCTCTCCCTCCCTCCCGCCCTTCCTTATTATATCTTATTATTCCTTTCCCACACTCTCTGCGGTCCGTCGCGCAGCCCAGCCCAGTCAAATCAGCTACAGCTATGCACAGCTACAGCGCGGCATTTTCTAGACTAGCCCCTCCCTCCCTCCCTCCCTCCCTCTGGTGCTCACATGGATCGATCCCCTAAGTGTAGAGTTTTTAACACACTGTCCCACACAGTAACGCCCAAAAGATGGAAGGGATTGGAAAGAAAACCCAGGCTGAAGTAGAGCCTCCAGAAGAGGAAACCACCCACAGGACCCCTCTCTCAAAAGGGGGGTGTATTTTTCCATGAGCAGAAGAATGGGTGAACCCCCACCCCCCATCCATGCATTGTGGTCGTATTCACTGCTGCCAGATGGGGTAGTATAATATTGGAAGCAGAGGTGAGGGTACTGGCTTTCACACACACGACAGTGGCCTTGATGGGCCTGGTTGGGAGAATCTCTGTCCACTGCAATGAACTCAAAAGGAGCCAAACCTGCACTTGTAGTGCAAAAAAATCAGCTGTGCTTATGCTGATGATGATGATAATAGTTCCAGTGGCATTACACCTTTCTCTTGCTTTTTTTCTTTGAAAGGAAGGAAAAAAGAGCTGGATTCATCATCCATACTCAAATATTGAGCTCACAGGAATTTTGTAATTATAGGATAAATACACCAAAGGTGTTCTGGTATCATCTGTTGCTCCAAGCTAGTGCAGTTGAAACAACCCTCATTGTACTGTAACTAATCAATTGATTAGCAGGTGCTTTTATTTTTTAATATTTTTGTATTTATTTTTATTTTTACATCTATCTAATGCATGATAGTTGTGCTACACCAAGTATTTCACATCCATACTAGTATCATCATCCAACACTAATAATTGCTATAATATATTAAAAAAACATACATTATTTGGAGGTATATTGGATATGCATGCAATTGCTGCTTTTGTTGTTGGTGTTGTTCATATTGTTTTATTTTATTTTATTTTATTTTGTTCATGGGCAGGATGGGGGTGCTTGACCCAGATGCTTCTGAACCATCATAGCAACTCACAATGTGGTGTTGCCTTTTGGCTAGGGATGAGGGGTAGAAGTGACATGAGCAGTTAAAATACATAGGAAGTAGTCAGTGTCAACTTCCCCTCTTTTTTTCCTTCTTCATTTTCTTGTATACATATATTTTTATATCCTGGTGGTGGAATCATTGTTTATACTCCTTTTGTGGCAGTGGGCTTTCCTTTTGATTTGTTGAAAGCTACACCAACTTGCATGCCATGAACCCTCAAATTTTAAGTGCTGTTAATTTTTGATCTCCAGCAATGAAAAATGAAAATTCATTCTCTTTGCCATTTACAAATAACTAACTTCGGATTGACTCTAGAATCACTTGTTTACTATTAAACTTCTCATCCTTTTGCTCAGTTCCAAATTTAACAAACTGGAACTGGCAGGTGTCAACCCATTGGAAACAGGCACAACTTACATTGGAACACAATAATGATTTGCATTAGGATCCCATGAAAATATGCTCACATTAGTGCCCAAATAGATTTATGTTTTAATAGAATGTATATATTTTTAACCAAAATAAAAAATAATGCTCTGAAAATCAGTTCAATAAATCCTAAATCCAACCCTCATCAGATTCTCCTATAAACTACACTGTTTGACTACTGATTTGATTTGTTCTTCTTAGTTTTGTGGGGATGCATGCAGAAGATTTTCACTTCTATTTCAGTAAAGAAGGACAATTTATATTACATAGCATCTGTTCAGCCATATAAATGGAATAGACAAGAATACATCATGGTTGGAAAACAGACTTTTCTGAGGGACAGTGGTAGTAATGAGTTCTGATATGTTTGTTGTATACATGCATACAAATTTGAAATATATATGTATTGTTATTTTGAACATGTACGAAGTTACCTTGCTTATTATATTAATAAGAAATTTTGTCCTTGATCTCTCAACAAAATCACAATTGTGACTGAACTCAATGGCTGAAATATATAAACATAAATATATATATATATATATATATGTATATTTATATTGAATTAGTTGATTTTGAATATATTTCATATTAAAGGTTTTTATTTTGGAGAAGATTCATTCCATAAATTAAACACCAAATATTAACTCTCCAAACTTTGAGGATGTGTAGATTGCATTTTAAAATAATCTAAGAGTTACTGTTTTATAATTTTGTCACAAAAGATAATAATAATGCCCCCAAAAATGTCTTATTACTATTGTTAATATTATCCTTCAATGGAGGGACACTAAAGCTAAGATGAAATTTGATTTTTTCCAGTTGTATTTATTTGTAAAAATTGCACAATTACAGTGGTTTGCCCAGTAGAACTGAAATGTTTTGTCAAAACATTGTATGATAATACTGTAAAAGTTATGATAAGAAACCAGGATTTCACTAGCTTTTTTCATTTTTGTGGTAGATAAAATTTTGATAATCAACAAAGAATAGGTACAGTAAAAAAAATCATTTCTTGTTTTTCTTAGCCAAATTAATTTGCAGTCACATTTTCTGAAAATAAAATATTCTCACTATATTAATTTTAAGAAGTCAATCTTTTATCATAAAGGACATTATTTTCGTTCTTTTCTTAATTTTTTCATGTGAAATTGGTAGCATTGCAAAACTTAAAATCCATGAATATGTACACTCTTTAATATAGCATAATAAAAATACAAGTCATGTATAATTTTAAGACTATTTCTTAACGTATCAATAACAACAATCTTAAATATTTGCATTTGTCATGGATACAAGAAAATTCCAATACATCATTGATAAACCAACCTTGCTTGAAAACATTTCCAACACTTTGCTCAAAAAACTGTAGACTTATTTTCATATTGCTTTTGTACATACTTTTTTTTTCTGCCATAATCTTGTTTCTGTTATCAAAACCTCATGAACCAGAAAAAAGAAAAGGAAACTAAATATTTTATTTTGATTCTCTCTCGACATTAGTATTATTTATAGATTCTCAGCTAAGAATTGTATTGAATTAGAGAAGTACAACTGTATCCCAAATTATTTATAACCTCTTGTGCTCCCTCATCCCACATCTTAGTCAAAATTTGTTTTCACCAAAGACATTTTAGAAAATTAAGCACATTGTTGTTGTAAATTATGGTTTTTACCAAAAAATTTCACTTCAATCAAAGAAAAATAGAATTACTCTCATATTTGGTTGTAAGTAATACTTCCTACTTTTTTAGTTACTGTTTGCTAAACTGAAATCCCCCTCTCTGTGTGTAAATGTCAATGTTGAATTAAGCTCAGATCTTTATAATCAAAGTGAAAAAGAAGTAGAAATATTCTTTCTTTTGAAAATATTTCAGAACGATATGGCAAGCTCTTTGGTTATACCCACTTATATTTATACAGAAAAATATAGTAAAATCATTTCATTTTTTTTTAGCCAATTAATATTTCTTATGTTTAAATCCATCCTTCATTATTATGTAGAATTTCAAATCCTAAATATGAAATTCCCAGTATTGTAAATTTTGTAAGATTAATTTCCTATACCATTTTCTTTTTCAGAATATGCTGTTGTTAAAATAATTTTAAAATATGAAAATTATGTTTTTACATACATATGAATTGTATTGCATGTAATTGACTATTCACATTTATATCCTCAATACTTACAAGATTTTCTTGAAAAACTGTTTGCATTCTTTTCAAACCAAGCAGAATTATTGTAAGCAATGCACAATTAATCTGGATACATTGATAAGATGGTACTTGTATGTAGCATTTAAAACATCATCCACTGAACTCTTTTTTTAATTATATGAAAGTGGAGGAATAATTCAAAATTCTATATATATATATATATATATATATGTATATATCCATGTGTATAATTATTATATATATATATATATTCATGTGTATTTTTAATATTTTTGAGATGATAATTAGTAAAATGTGTGCACAATCTGGAGCACAAAAATCCCAACTTACATGTCAAAATGTAGTCAATACAACAATTCACAATGTCCCTGATTACCTCGAACAATTGGAATGAACAGTAAAACTGGCTTAAGAAATCTCGACACAGGAGTTCATTTTCATTTCACTGTTGTACTGTACTATTTGTTTGTGTTTATTTTATTTTGTTTTGTTTTATTAAAGGAGGAGGATGAGTGGACCAACCTCTAGTGCCGTCTGTGCAGAACCCCACCCCACAATGTTAGTGTGGGTGCCAACACAGCTTGGCTCATGTCTCAAAACTTGGTTATACCACCAAATGTGTTTAGATTAGGCCTTGAAGAGTATGGACAGAATCAACATGGGGAGCATGGAAAAGGGTCACAGCCAGAGTGGAGTGGACTGTGTTGTAGCCCCCGCCCCAATCCAAGATTCCATTTCAACCAGGCTGTGAATTCAACATCTTTCTGTGGAATATATGAAGATACACTACACTCATATGTGTACAGTACTGGGCTTTTCACCGTTTGATACTGTGGCAGGAGAGGGAGTCGTTCATTGCCGGGACCCAACCAAATGCAACCCACATGGAAGTGCACACATCATTTGAATTTTAGGTTAGAAGAGGTTAGAAGAGAAGGACTAGCAGTAGTAGTAGCAGCAGCTTAAGTACACTTTTTGTTTGCTCACTTTTTGTTTTCCTTTCTTCAACTTCATCAACTATACAGAGAGATGAACACCTTTTGAAGCTCTCTGGAGTGTTGCTGCCAACCAACAAACCAAATAGGAAACAGAGCAACCAAAAGAATGAATCAACAAGTGGAACACTCTCCATTTCCTCTTGT